AGCAGTCATCTTCCCTGCTGAAGATTTCTTCTGAAAGCTACTGAAAGGAAACCTAGATCTAACACTTGAATTTCCTCTACAGCGGAAAGTGCTAATGGATCTTATCTCCTTGGTGTCTATAGTTGAGACAATGCAACATGCCTTAAAAAGAACGTCAGTCAACAGCCAAAAACATCCCACGATGAAAACGTATGTCCTCACTCCATCAAAACTGGTGTCTCTCTCTGTAGTTCTCTCACTTTTCCCTCGGTAGTAATACAGGCCAGGCAAGTTGCCTTCCAGCTACACAGCTGGCTTCACAGAAGCTTCTGAGATGGCCAAGCCCAGAGCACTCTTCCGAAGGGCTCTGAGAACAGGCTGGGCACTCGGTTCTCAGCTCACCTGACTGGACCCAGGCTCAGAGGCTGACCTTGAGGCAGCCTATAGTCGGCCAGCAGCTTATACGTGCTGACTGACACAACAGCCCTGCTCTCAACTTCATGATGATGGGCTATTATCAATTGGAACCGCTCTCTAGGAGGGTTTGAATCTGACCCACCAAGAGGTCAGCAGTAGACTGCCCCAGAAGGAAAAAAGAGAAACGGTAATAAGCAGGAGCCATGACTCAGCAGAAACAAGTCAGCAGAAGCCACGTGGCCAAGGGAAGATGAAAGCAACGTTAGTGGGTGCAGAGACAGAAAAAGTGGGCCAGAAAAATAATGTCACAGCGCGGAGGAGAGCAACAGGGGCAGCTGGTTCTCTAGGAGTGGTTTCTGGAGTTGACACGGTGGGCGATACGGCCCTAGGGCATGAGGACACTGCCCTGCTGATGTTCACAGGGTACTGCCACCGGGTCTTAGCCCCAGTGCACTGGGTTCCGTCTAAAACCTGGCTTCTTAAAAAAAAAGAAAAATCTTTACCTTATTTAATTAAAATTTCTTGAGCATTCTACTCTGTTTATCTGACAGCCTACTTGCAGGGAATTATTGCTTTAGGATCAAATCAAGCAGAGAGAGTCGAACACATTTTTTACTACCATGTATTTCTTAAAGAACGTTGATTAGTAAATATCATTTGCTAGATGATAAGGAGAGAGTCACCAAAATATGCATGTTAGTTAAGGTCTTTCGCTTGAACCAAATAAAATGTGTTCATGCTCTAAACAGATAATTTGTAAATTTATTATGAATTTAATGGGGTCTGAAAACCAACTGATTCATTGAAAAGGGATGTTCCATAACGAACAAATAGTATTTCAGAAAAATTATAACACAGATGCCTTAAAGAGTAGGGGCCACTGGTAGTTGTGTTCAGTAAAAAGAGAAGTAGACAGAGTGACTTTCTATGTCTATTTCAATGACTGGAAAATTACGTTCCATGCAGGGTGTGCTTGGAATCACTGTATGCAAATATAAGTAATATTAATAGATGTGGTATTCAATATTACTCTGGACTCTTCCTTAGGGAAAATTTCTACATACATTTTGGTCTCTCTCAGAATTTAAAAGGGTCTTACCCTTCCGTGCTGATAAAATGAGTACTCTTTAGTCTACTAATATGTTTAGAGGATAAAACAATGTAAAAAGCACAATATTTTGATCATCCAGGGGCACCTCTCCCATTTTTAACTTAGGTGTTTATGTTTTTCTTTTTGTCTAATTTGGTTACAAGACTCTGAAACCAAAATTGCTTTGTGCTGCAAAAGCAAACTGCATCTCATTAGCTTTTCCACTAAGGCCAATTTATGCAAATCCAGCATTATTAGCTAAATAATTGAAGTGACCTTAGTATGCAAGGAAAGAAATAATTTGGCATTGAGGTATGGGAGAAAAATGAGGACTTGTCTGCTCAGTTCTCTATCATTTCAAAGACAGAAATGATACACTGTATTTTCCACATATACCTCTATGTAACTCCCCAAAGAGAGGGGGCTAAAATGCTAGCCTGCAGCCTTGGCCTCTTGCAGCCCCCAATGCTTTCCCCTCCCTCTCCTTCTCAATCTCTCTGGGCTTCACAAAGAACTGGGACATTTGAGGGAAATTTAAGATGCTACAGCCCACTCTAAAACAGTTAATGACTTCAACAACAACAAAAATCAAAGTCTGAGGAATTACACGGTTTTCTCTAAGAAGACCTTATTTCTGAAGACATCTGGTTCTATAATGTCTCAGTTCAATATTAATATTCAGCTATTGGTTAGAGTAAGACCATTCTATAAGACATAGAAAGGCTTTTTTAAAATTTATATAGCCAATAAGTAGGCTATATTATTTGATTTCTAAGATGTCTCCATTTATAAAAACACCCTACAAAGGTGAGAAATTGAAATGATTTCTTTTTCTGCTGACAGAAAATTCCTCTAGTCCAACTTCCCTGCAGTTTTTCTGAGAAAAGAAAAATTGAGATGTTTCCTCAGCATCGTGGTGAATCAAGCTAAAGTCTTTGGAATTAGCTGAAAACTACAACAATAATAGCAGAGCTTTAGTGGATGAGAAAAAAAAAATTCATAGAGAAAATATCTGTATTATTATCAAATAAGTTCAGAGGAAAAGCTTTGGCCATGCAGATACAACCTTACATCTAGTTAAAAAGGAAAAAAAAAATACCGTGAAGAAAACACATTTTTGTAAAATCTTGCAAATACTGATGATTATAGTCCTGAGTACGTTTATATAAAATCTCTTTTCAATTAACAATTTCTTTTTAAAGAGACAAGGCCTCGCTCTGTCTCTGAGGGTACAGTGGTATGGCTGTAACTCACTACAGCCTCAAACTCCTGGACCTGAGGTAAGTAATCCTCCCATCTCAGTTTCCTGAATAGGGAGGACTACAGGTGTGCACCACCACACCTGGCTAACTTTACTTGTTATTTATTTATTTTCTTTTACAGAGGCAGGGGTCTTGCTATGTTGCTTGGAATAGTCTTGAACTCCTGGCCTCCAGTGATCCTCCGGTGTAGGTCTCCCAAAGTGCAGAGCTTCTGGGTGTAAGCCGCCGCACCTGGCCACAGTCAGCAACACTTCTGGCCAGAGCTTGGCTTCTTCCTCACAGAGGAACTGGGCTAGAACACGCTCTCTAGCAGCTTTGATTGGCCAGGCTGAGGTTAGGAGATCTCAAAAGAGCAGGAAGGATCACAGCCATGTAGCTGAAATTCAGGCTTGCTTGTAGAGATGCATGCAGGAGGCGGCATGTAAATAAAGTAGACTTTTTGTTTGTTTTACTGAACTGGCTAACGGACTTATAAACCCAAGGTCCTCATTATAGCAGTGCAGGTTAAATACTTTAAAAGGCATATGCTGAAACCCGCATGAATCAAAACCATCCTCAGAATGAGGAGGTAACCATTCAATACTCAGCCCCACTCCTTGTCTGACCGTTTGAAATTCAGAATGCGAGTAGAGGTGACCACGTGGTAGAACTGTGCTTCTAAGTAACTTCTCATCCAACAGGGAGAAATGACATAAAGAGCGAGGAATTTTACTCCTAACTATGGAGCAGCAAGTTTAACAGTTAACATCTTCTGACGGCCACTTATGCACCACCTTTTACCTGGGAGCCAGAGTCAGCCCTATGTTGAGGGTATTCAGAAGCTAAGTCCAGAAACAGCTTGAGATCCCTGCGCAGCACTGGTCAGATGATGTGGACGAGGCAATGTGTTCTTTTTACTGCTCTCACATTTCAAATTAAGAGATGGAGGAAGGAAGGGGGTGTCCTGCAATGCCACATGTGTCCTTCACGCCAACACTGGATGACTGACCATCCACGGGAGCAAGGAACGAACACACTTCTTATACGAACCAGTGCGTACAAAGCCTTCCCCACAAAATGTTTGCTCTCTATTTGCTTCAGAGAATTATGTCCCATTAAAGGAAAGAAGAAATATATATATATATATATATATATAGTATATATATGTTCTATATAAGATGTATATGTATATTTGTATAAATTCCAAAACCCCAGATGTCCCCATCTAGCAATCTAGAAAGTCAGCCTTTTCAGAAGTTGCCATGTCCTGTTGGTCCCTTGCAGTCCTTGTGAGGACTGGGGCATGCTAGCACACACAGAGATAGCCATGTTTAGATTAAGCTCCTGATCTGCAGAGGTCACAGAATTGGACAGTAAATAAGAAATACTGCATCATGGTAAGGTCTGTACCAGGGGCAAGAGAGGACTCAGAAATCAGTGAACTGGCCCAGATGGGACCCGAGCTAAATTGAAGAGCCTTTGTCCTCTCCCAGGGGCAGCCACGATTCAGTGACACACAACAACTTCTGGGAGGGATGCAAATCTGGTCTTGACAGAATTGCTGATTTTTCAAGGAAAGCCAGAATTCTAGACTTTTGTGTAAAACCTCCCCATTTTAAAATGAAAAAATTAAGATTGAGGCCATTCTATAGGACATAGTCCAGCAATGAAAAGGCTAAATTACTTGATTTCTGACATGACTACATTTATAAACCCACCCCACAAAAATGAGAAACTAAAATGATTTCTTTTTCTGCTGACTGACAGAAAATTCTTACAATCCAACTTCCCTGAAGCTTTTCTGAGAAAAGAAAAATTGAGATGTTTTCTCAGCATTGCATTGAATCAAGCTAAGGTATTTGGAACTGGGAGAAAAATACCGCAACAATAATATCGAATTAAAAAAATTGTGTGGGCCACATAAAGCAGGTCTGTGGCTTAGATACAGCCCACAGTGGACCTTCTTTGAACCTTAGGAAAGAATGTATGAGTATGAGCAAGTGTTTTGCTTATGACTAAAATCGTTTGCCTATGGCTGCATAAATAAAAGTGGAACATAAAATATAATTTTGGTTAGAAGCTAGTAAGTGCCTGAAAATATGGGAATGACTGACTGCATTCGACCTCAGTAGAACATCTGACAGATGCCGCAATAAACACGAGACTCACAAGGTAGTGGCGGGGGAATGAGTCTGAGCCACTATTTCATTTAAAACATCTATTCCATAATTGGTACATACTACTTTGCGAGGAAGTGAAGCAGGTCATCTTACCTGTGCTCTTGGGAGATGTGCTCGTCAGTGCTTGCTGTTTGATAGACTTTTGCCATAACTATTGTTTTTCCCAAAGGCCCGCATGCTTTCTCCAGCTTCCGGTTGCAATCTCACATTCGGGACGGTAAAAATAGAAGACACTGTGGACAAAATGGGAAGTTCTCATTTACAAATTTATAATGTTTTCCTTTAAAAAATAGATACTGTGATGCAATTCTGGTTGTCCCCTGCATCAAACATTATGGTATGTGTCGGTCTTTGAAACGCCAAGTGATCACAGGCATATACGCAGTTGCACACATGTAAACACAGGCGTGACTACATACACTACCTTCTGCTGAACTACAGCTCAGATGATCTCTTCCGTGTCCCTGATCTGGAGTGATTAACTTGGTTTTGAAAGCAACGTATTGTGCCCTTTCTTTGGGCTATTCTTTTGTTCATTCATTGAGCTCTACGCTGCTCTAGAAATTGCAGAATGTGCAGTGAACACGTCAAATGAAAGGGAATCCCTGTGTTTGTCGATTCCTGTTGAGGGAAAGAAAGTCAAAAAACAATAAAACAAATATAATAAAGAGTGGTCAATGCTATGAAGAAAATTACAGTGGGGAAGAAAAATGAGAAATTTAAGGTCAATGAAGGCTCCCTGATGAGGTACCTGGAGCAGAGACCCAGAAGAGGTGAGAGGCCAAGCCATGCACACATCCAGAGGGAGGACGTACAAAATGTAAGAAGAGGAAACAGAAAGCTGGCAGAGGAAACAGAAAGCTTGCCTCTACAGAGGCAGGAAGAGGAGGGGCAAACTAGTTCAGGAGCTAATGTGAAAATACAGGTAAGAGAAGATGGTGAGTGTCTTGGGGCTGACGGCAACGAACTGAGGAGTGGTGTACTTCTGGATGTATTTTGCATGTAGCAGCAACGGGGTCTGGGAAGAACTGGATATGGAACCTGACAAAAGAAGAGGAATGAATCAAGGATAACGTCTATCAGCTGGAAGAGTGACGCTGCTGTGTACTGACCATGGGAGGAGCGAGCTGGAGGGAACAGATCAGGAGTTATTGCAGATGTTGAGTAGTCAGGTGAACAGGGCTAGAGATGGAAATATGGAAGCTGCCAGCGTGGGGACGATATTTAATTGTGAGATTAGATGAGATCCGCGAGGCTCTGGGAAGTGTACACATATGGGAAGATCTGAGGGCCAAGCCTCTAATAGTGGGAAAAAATCAGCAAAAGAGTCTGAAGAGTTTAGTTTTCTAAACTAAAGGAACACCACAAGAGAATCCTCTCTTTGTAAGGAAGAACAGAAGTTACTAGAAGGTGGTGATGGCCAGTGTGTTCCAGTCGGCTTATACACAGGCCATTACAAAAGTTTTGAGATACACAAAGATCAAGAAATCTAAAATCCATGTAGATGAAAACAAATGAAGCCCTCCTCGCAACACTGATAAGAAGCCAGTGAAGTTGAAACTTTCCCGAGTGAATCAGAAAGAGTACTGTTGACTGTGTTTCTTGGAAGTGAAATAGTGGACCATAACACAATCTGTCTCAAAACTTCCCTAGTGATCCAAGGAGATCAAAACAAAGCTCGCAAAAGACCAACAGATGGAGGCTTTGAAAACAGCAGTTCAGGAGTTGTGGCACAAAAGCTTGGTTAGAAAGGACTCACAATAGCAAGAAAATCTAGCACTTGGAAGTGGCAAATACATCTGGAATGTGTGTGCTTGTTTTATTTTTAAGAAGATGGCATGTTGCTACTGTAAAGGCATCATGGTGTCTTAAGATAATATACACAACATATATATGTGTCCATGGGAATACGTGGGGAACCCTACAAATATTAGAGCTGGAAAGGTCCTCAGGGATAACTGTATCCATCTTACTTGCTCTCTAAATGAGAAACTGGAAGTTCAGAGACAATAAGGCAACCATCCAAAGCTCACTGGCTAGTTAATAACGGAGCTGAAGCCAGAATCCAGGCGGCCTCATTCGCAACTCCCTGTTCTTCACACCACCAATTTCTTGGCCTTCCTTTGCTGGATTTGAGTTTTGTGAATTAGCAAATGAGTGCAATAAAATCAAGGACTCTGTGCTATGAAGTGTATTTTGTTCATTTACTTTGACAAGGGTAGTTCAGCTTCAATTATTTATGTAACTTGATAGTATACGCAGGAGAATGCCCTGTGGTGTATTTGGGAAAAGTAATGAATTTCTTCTCAATCAGCCCTCCGTTTACTTCCCTGCAATTAAATCTTTGTGAATAAATGGGGCAAGACTGTTGGGGCTTCAGGAGAGAGGGAGAATGAGGGTGACACCAGAATTAGCCAGCTTTAACTGCTAGATCCCCTTCTTGATGCATTCATAATTCCTGCTTCAGTGGTGCACTAATACTCCACCTCCACATTTTAGTATTATGGAACCTGTTGAAGTTTGAAGGAACAGTACAATCAAGGAACCCGTACTATGTTGTTACGTAGTCTTCCAAAGGAAGAGCCTGGCAGTAAGCACACAACTTCATTTTTACATGAATGCATGGATGACTGCAGAGCTCTGTTATTGTTACCCAGGCTCCAACAACATCTGATGCTCTTTTCATAGGGTCTCATACATTAAAGTAAGGCAAGAAGGCTGAAGCCACTTTTAGCTTATTTTTGTCCCTAGATCTTCTCCTTTTAGCCTGGTTTTGTTTCCTGCTTGCATAAGTGTTTTCCATTGTTGATGTTCTTTAAAAAAAAAACCCAAGCCATCTTTGAAAAAGAAAGTGCGATGGACTGGACTATGTTCCTCCTCAAATTTGAGTATTGAAGGCCGAGGCCTGATAAAGTGAGGAAGGTGTTTTGAGATAGGGCTTTAGGGAGGGAACTGGGGTAAGATGGCATCAGGAGGATCCTCTCTTCTTCCTGGGAGGACGCAGCAGGTGGCCCTTTGCAAGTCAGGGGGAGAGACCTTACCAGGGACCAAATCTGCTGGATCTTCATCTCAGACCTCCGACACCCCAGTGCCGTGAGAATTAAATGTCTGCTGTTTAAGCCACCCAGTCTTTGGCACTTTGTCATAACAGTCTGAGCAGGCTGCGACAGAGAGGTTCCTGGAACTGGTCAGTCTAAACCATGACTTGGTTGCTGAGACAATCCATTTAGTGGCTCTGCAACACTCCTTCCCGGGTGGACACCCTTCCAAATCTCCTTGAAAAGGAAGCACATAAGGGTACTGCTGCTGCTGTTGGCCAGACGGTAAACTTTAACAGGAGCCTACACTAACATGAAATTGAATTTTAAGAACTTTAAGAATTTCTGAATATAGTGTGCAGAACTTTACCCTAGATGACAGCATGGCTGACACTGGCCACTTCACTTAAAGGAACTAATTCCTGGAGTCTCCAAAGTCAGGGAATTCTTTGTTTTGTAAACATGTTTACACGTATAGCCACGTTGTTCTAAATGGAAATGACTGTAGTATTTAATACCGGGATTGTCCTTTCTTGCAACTGGATTTACGCTTCATAATGATTATCTTCTAGACACAGAAATAGCATTTCTGTAACTCAAAATTGTTACTGGAGGCATTTAGTAGAATCTCGCTTTAAAAATATAATGATTTTTCATCTTTATTCTCCCCCCTTCAAAAGGTTTCACTGCTCCTGATGTTTAACGTTATGCAAAGACGTGTTTCTGCCAATGAATATCGCCTTATGGTTATGCTTCTGCAAATAGCCTGCTGTGAGCTGATAAAGGGATTAATGCAGCCAAAATTCTTAATCTGTGAAATTACAAATTAAATTCTCATATTAAAAATACCACCCTGAGGTATTTTTTGTGGTTTTAATTCCCCTCTGGTGTTCTGCATACATTGTGCTTGTTAATGACGGGGACAGGGCTGTCTCCGCTGGCAGTCTGCTGCCGAGTGATAATGTGTAGGCATTTACTCACCGATAGAAACTGGATTTAACCACTGGCTGATAAACTAAGTGGCAAGTGGGTAATAAGTCCATATTAACAGAAAAGTACTACTACAGAATTCAGAATTCATAGACCATCAAAATCCTGGCTTAAACTCAATCATCAAATCAGATGGGATTGAGATGTCACCATGGAGGAGTGATATCAAGTTACAAGTTAGGCTAAATGGGAAAACAAGCCATATGTTTGAATGTGATGAGACATAAACTAATGAGCCTATTTGCATCATTTTTTTTTTCAGTATAGGAAAAAGTGTCACCAATTCATTATTTTTCCAAAGGGATTTCATCTGTAATATATTTTTTTTAATTGTGGGTAGCTATTGTAATAGTCAGTGGGTAGACGTTTAGAACAGAAGTTAGGAAGAGTGTAGAGTAAATATGGGCTGGGATTATGTGAAACATCAATGAGGACTTCCTAAACATAAGGGGAGTAGTAGATTACAGTCACATTAGGGTTTTAAAAAAAAGTACTCAGAAATAAACGTGGGATATAAAAATAGATTTAAGGTAAGAATACCTAACAGGAGTTGTTACTTGGAAATGAGTTCCAAAATAAAGGGTTATTGTCATCAAGAAATAGCCAGCGGGAGGAGGGACACTAAAATCCAAGAGATGAAAGAAATAACTTATGTCTTCTATAAATGATATATGTTCAAGGATTAATAAATGTTATTATCAATATTTACACATAAATTCAATATGTGAATTTTAAAGGCAATCAGAAAAGAATATAAGAAGAAACATCTCTCAGTTGTTCTTTGGAAAGAACATATCACATTTGAATGGAAACATTCCTACTGCAATAGTGTTTTACAAAATTTCACAAGAATTCTGTTTCACACTTTGGAAGAAAGCTGAGATCCTCCCAGCCATAAATCCTCCCCCAAATATTTAAAATGTAATTGAAAAAGGCTGTGTAAATATGAATGCTTTTGCAAAAACAAAACAAAACCCACCCAGGAATGTGTTTTGTTTTAAAAGATACAGAGAAGAGCTGTCAGTATGAATACCAAGAGCATTTGCAGTTAAAATGAGTTACATGTCTTCAGTTCATACATGTCAATTTGGTGCCTTAGCCAATTGCCAACTCTGCTCCTCAGCTCACTGCCTAGCAGCCCTTTATTGTTATGACCAAGATGGTCTCTGAGCATCAAACAGAAATGAATCATTTCCTCCTCTGTGTACTGTAGCCAGTTAAAAAGTACTGTATGCATAAAGCACTAAATATGTAAATCATATTTTCCTTTTCCTTTATGACTGCTCAGATCATTTTTTTGGACACACATATAATCAAACACAAAGACGCATAGCTGCAGACTGCAGAGCAGAGATAGCAAAGAAGGAATCCATTTTCTCCCTGTGTCTGGTGAGCCGGCAACTAAGTGGCAGGATGCCACTAAATACATGTGCACATGTCGCCCCATTCCCATTCTCCCTCTCTCTATGTACACACACACACACACACGTGTAATGCATACATATGTTTGTGCACATATAAATATGTGAATCTCTCTACGTGCATGTCACATATAGATGCTAAAATGGCATCTCTGCTTTGACTGGATATTTTATATTTGTCATACTCACTATCCGTCAGTTCCCATAGCCGCGGGGGCAGGTCACTAAAATACTCGTGGCTCAAGGCAGCCTGTGCAGATAGCCTGTTCTTTGGGGAACACTGTAGGAGCTTGGAGGCCAGATCCTCTGCATGATTCACATAGCTGAGCCTAAAAACATAAGTGAAAAAGAGAAATCAGATCAAATAGAGGAGAATCCACGGAATTTAGACATAAAGCTCACTTAATTTTTCTGAACTTCAATTTATTCCTGGCCAAGAAAACAATTTAAATTGTCTGCTGAAAATAAATAAAATATCTTTTATTCTAAACTGATTTATATACTTGATAGCCCAGTATCACTGATTTAAAATATTTCTACTATAAGCAAAAGGTTGATACTTTAAGAATGAATAAAAGTAGGCCCAGAAGTAGAAAATTTCAGAAGAAAATTTATCAAATAGTTGCCAGAATTTGTTCATAGAATCTATGCACTACATATACATCTGGATACAGTTACAGGAAATTAATACCAAATAACTAGGGGAATTAAAATAAAACTGCTATTAAATTCTCTGGTTACTGAAGTTTCTTTTCTTCTAAGAATTTACATTTTTTGATTGAAATATAAAATTGTTGGAACAAGTGTCCTGTCAACTATCAACAGTTGTAACATTAACAGGTTAACAAAGGAGATATGCTTAAAAGAATCAATTCAAGACCTTTAAAAGAACGGTAGGTAGAAAATATGCGTTCCAAGATTAAAGAACAAGGCACAGAAACAGAGTCTTTCATGTGGTGTATGATTTCAGATGGGCAGCCGCCACCATTCAGCCCAGCTCAGCCTTGTTTTTCCTGGAATCTCTATTTTTCTGCCCAGAGCAATCACGCCTAGAGAATTAACCTAATAATGATCATAAAAATATTCCTAATAATGACTACTACTTATAGATAGTTAAACGTATGTCAGGCACTTTCCGAGGCACTTTTCACACTCCAACTTATGACAGTCCAAGAAGCTAACCGTTTCCATACAACAGCAGTGGAAGTTAAGTCAGAGTGAGAGATGGTGGCGATCACTGAATTAGCAAGCTCAGAGGAGGTTCAAACCCACCTAGGACTCTTTGACTCTAAAGCAGATTGCACATGCTGCGCTCTCCTTCTCTCAGCAGTAGTTTCTAAAGGCTTTACCCAAGGATTTGTGAGTTTCTGCAACACGGGGCCCAGTGACTCTCAGAGAGCCAGGAGGAGGAGAGGGAGAGTTTCAGCTGCCAATGAGCATTTTTTTTTTTTAAATCCTCAAAGTCACGACTAAACATACAATTAACCAAAAAAAAAAAAAAAAAAAAACTTTCTTCAGTGACTAACAATCTTCTCCCTCCCCTCCTTAGTATTACTTTAAAATTATCATGGGGGGAGTGGTCAGGAGTGGAGAAGAGGAAAGGAGGTAATGATTTGGGGTGGTAGAAAAAAAGGAAGAAAAGCAAAGAAAAATATTACCCTAAAGACCCAATCTAAGAGACCTTCTCTCTAAATCTCCATACCTGAAGATGGCAAAAATAAGTTCAGTGATTGGCTGCTGCAATGGTTAAAACAGATCAATGGATTGGTTTTAGATACTTCTGCCTGTAAAGAGAAATCCACCCGTAGAAAACAAGGTGGTCTCAAAACCCCCTACCATTAATTTTTTCCTTTAAGAGGGCCCAGGGTCAGCTACCTTACTTGAGTTGCACGTCTATTGAGTATACAGTTTATATTATAGTCATAGTGAACAGTACATTGACATCAATTTTATATAGCTTTGATAAACTAGCACAACTAGCTCTGAGTTTTAGCTTGATGCAGTTACTATTTTTTAAATCCATATAAATAACCTGTACTAAAAGAAGAAATGAAGATTACTAAGCACCAAAATCATGCAGTGTTAACAATGCAAAAAAGTGATCACAATACTTGGTGTACTTAACTCTGAAGTCATGAATGTAAAACATATAATACCAAGTAACACATGATTTTTGGTCCTAGTTCCCTCTCTATTGAACAAGACTATATTATGTCTGCAGTCCGTCCAGCTCCAACAGTTCATGAATCACAATTGAAGAATGGCTTCACTATTTTCAAGAATTATAAATATTTATAGTTGAACAATTATTTTTGCAATAATTGTTTGCAATTGTTTCTTATAGTCAAATATAATGTACCGTGTCTGTGCTTCAATGTAAGGAATTCATCAGTATAAGGCAGTCTCATTCCCCCCCAATTGACTAAATTTTATTAGCAATGAAATAATCAAATTTTTATTTGTAATATACATGCACAAGTATTTAAATTATTTAACATTTTAGTTTAGAACTTTTGCTATTTCCTCATTTGCATTTCAGGAGTCAATTTGATTGATTCTAACTCACCACAGGTATTGGCTATGCCAGAGTCTTTGTCATTACCAGAACTTCTCTTTGAGTCTATCTAAGTTGTTTGAAAGCCGACAGTTTCGGGAATCCCTGTATGACATTTTAATTGGAAGTTTCATCTGAAGTCATAAGTGTACCCACCTTATCAGACTCTTAGGATGACTGTTGTTCTCAATCTCCGGTTGTGATGATAGATTTTTTTTAATCTTTCCTTGTAATCCCATCAATTTTGTTTTATACATTGTAAATCTAAGTAATTAAATGCCTAACCTTCTAGCACTGTTACATACTTTTGGGACATCACGTCTTTAATCCTTACATTGTGACCCTCATTAGTTTTAGTACAGAGTGGGCTAAAGTTTATTTTCTCTCTTATATTAATTTGGTCACCTCTGCTTTCTTTTGTTTAGTATTTGCCTGACATACCTTTTGTCACTTGCTAACTTTTAATGTTAAATACACGTAATTTTAAGATGACTCATACATAATTGTATTATATAGTTGGGCTTAATTTTTATCCAACTAATCCTTGTCTTCCAAGGAGAAAATTTAGTCCATTTACACTTTATGATCACTGATATATCTGAAATTACTGCTACCAGGTTGACTTATTTTTTTTTTTTTGAGACAGAGTCTCACTATGTCACTCTCAGTAGAGTGCCATGGTGTCATAGCTCACATCAACCTCAGACTCTTGGGCTTAAGCGATTCCCTTGCTTCAGCCTCCCAAGTAGCTGGGATTACAGGCGCCCACCACAACACCCCACTATTTTTTGGTTATTGTTGTTTAGCAGGCCCCAGCCAGTTCAAACCCACCAGCCCTGGTGTACGTGGCCAACACCCTAACCACTGAGCTATGGGCACCAAGCCTATCAGGTTAATTTTGCATTCTCTTTTGTCTTTCTTTACCTTTTTCCCTTTTCCTACCTTCTTCTTCTGGATTGAATTTTAAACTTCAACATCTTGTTGGTAGGACTACAAACTAATACAGCCTCTATGGAAAGAAGTGTGGAGAATCTTCAAAGAGCTAAAAGTAGACCTTCCATTTGATCCTGCAATCCCATTACTAGGTATCTACCCAGAAGAAAAATAAAACCATTTTACCATAAGGACATATGCACTAGAATGTTTATTGAGGCTCAATTCACAATTGCCAAGATGTGGCAACCCAAGTGCCCACCAATCCATGAATGGATTAATAAACTGTGGTATATGCATAATATGGAATACTATTCAGCCATAAAAAGATGGAGACTTTACATCTTTTGTATTAACCTGGATAGAGTTGAAGAATAATCTCCTTAGTGAAGTAACACAAGAATGGGAAAGCAAGTATCCAGTGTACTCAATACTGATATGAAGCCAATAGAAAACAACTACATGCCCATATGAAAGAAAAACACAATTAAATTCAAGTGGTGGAGAGGCCAGAAGAGAGAGGGAAGAGGGGAGGGAATTAGCAAGCTGTCACCGAATAACCACCATGTATAGCATCACTCTGGGCGAAGGGCTCATCTACGACTTGGACTTTGCCTGACAAACACAATGTAACCTAATCACCTGTACTCTCCTGCTAATCTGAAATTTTTTTAAAAAGTTAATCAAAATAAAATTCAACATCCTTCACTTTGAACAGCTCTACTTTAGAAGTATAACATTACTAGGGTAGAGCCCGTAGCTCAGTGTGTAGAGTGCAGGTCACATACACCAAGACTGATGGGTTCAAACCCGGACTGGGCCAGCTAAAACAATAGTGACAACTGCAACAAAAAAGAATAGCCAGGCATTGTGGCAGGTGCCTGCAGTCCCAGCTACCTGGGAGGCTGAGGCAAGAGAATCACTTGAGCCCAGGAGTTGGAGGTTGCTGTCAGCTGCGACACCACAGCACTCTACCCAGGGCAACAGCTTAAGACTCTGTCTCAAAAAGAAAAAAATTATAACAGTTTAACATTACTATTTCCATGTACTTAGTGATTACACTTAACTCTTTTTTTTTTTTTTGGTTTACATTTCATTATTGATTTAGATGTTTAAACTCTCATAAAATTTTACAAGTTGGTGGACACTGAGAAATTGACTTTCCCACAGAACTATTATCGCACATTCCAAACACTATATGTTTGAAGTAACATCAATATACATTAACACTTTACCAATTATATAATAAAACACATTACTATGCAAATATTAAGTTATACACCTCAACAGGAACATATAAAATATTATATATTTGCTCAATTCTTTAGCAGAAATTGATTTCTCTTTTTGCAAGATAGGTTGGGAAATCACCCTTCGAACAAAAATAGTTGGGAAACAACTTCTAATAGACATGAAAAAAAATCAGGGTTTTCAAAAATTTTATAATTAAGAATTATTTTAGCTACAATAAAACATGTTTACCTTAAAAAAATCATTAAAGGGCATATTAATTGCATGAGACATTTTGCTAAAAATACTTAATAGCTCCCTCCTCCTCATTCTTTGGTCCCTCTCTTTTAAGTTGCACCCCAAAGTGCAAACATTAAATTAACTTTAAGACTCCTTTGTCTGGAGACACTAAAGATACATGCTTTTGTATAATGTGGACTTACACGAACTTTTCAACCAAAAGTTTGCCATTTTCAAAATGGAGGCTTTCTCAACAGCAAAAATGAGATTTATAGAGAGACAGTAAGAAATTATCATAAGACTTGGAGAAAAGCCAACAAAATCAATAGTTACACAAACCTGGTGTATGCTATTTTAAATGTGGCAGATACA